AACATCAGATTCGTAATCAGCGACCGAAAAAACCCCCGAACTATTATTTTCGTTTGAAAAAAATCAAAAGTCATTAAACAACTCCGCAATTTTGTATCTGCCATTTTGTTTTTTAAAAACTAACATAAAATTCGTAATCAGCGACCCCAAAAACCCTTGTATAAGAAAATTTCACGCAAAATTACTACCTTTTCGAGTTTTGGCCAGCTTTTTGGAATTTCCGACCACTGTGCGTCGTTCATCTTCAAAATTGAAACAGTTTTAACGGATTCACTGGTTTCACTGTATAGATCAGGAATACCGTTGATCCTCCCCGGATTATAAAAAATACATTCATTTTTTTCATTTTTGGATAACGACCGAATGAATTAGTGAGTGGATTTAAGACTTAAAATAGATTTTTCTTCTTTAGAACTGGCCTTTCTTATGATTTCTTTACGCCCCTTGCACCATCAGAATTTTATTTGTTTCGATGTTAATGGCGTAAAGTTGGTTTTAAAATAAGCCTGTAAAAATCACTTGGTTCAGACAGAAGTTCCTAACCAAACGATTAATGGTTTTATCTGGAAATGGTAATAGTTAATCGATTGAAGCATATTTGGTTTGATAAACTTAATCTATTTAAAAAATAATAATATTTGTTGAGTACCTAATATTATTATTAAGAGGCCTTCGATACGTTCTTGACCATGCATTTTGGAATAACACGCTCACTAGCTTAGCTCATTTTGTTGTTGAAAAATTCCAAAATATCGCTGATTTTTCTATTTTTAGCACTTGACCTCCTGCTATCTATTGTGGAGTATTTTTACTTTGACATTAACAATTGTTAATATTTTTGGGGTCGATTAATTGTGAATCTTGGCAGAAACAAAAGATAGTGTACAAACAAAATCTTGTATCAAGATCAAGGCATATGATCACGTCCTAATTTGGATTTCAATTAAAATATATGTAGCTCTAGCAATATGTTCTTTGCGTCTTGTCTTGTTGTTTACTCTGGCCATGTATGGACAACAACCGTACAAAACCCATTGATCACCTTTCTGAAACGACGCGTCGTCTTGTTACCGACTTCGGTCTGACACTCGGGAAGTGTTGCTTTAATGAATGTACTTTGTTTAAATGAAGTTTCAGTCCAATTTAACTAATAAATTTTGAATTGACGTCGGCAGGAATATGATAAATCCCTAGAACCATTATTAATTATATCATAAATCGCTATCTGGCCTTTATAGTCCGGAAACACCTGAATCGAACAGATGGCACACTATGATCATGCTGTATGCTACAATGCAGTTTGGCAATGCAAAATCAACAATGGGTCTTCCTCTTTTGATTAAGATAATTTATGGGTATTAATTAAGAACAATAATTTTAATTTTTTATTTATTTTATTTTTACCTTATGTAGATATCTTTTGTAAATAAATTGTAATTCTTTGTCCAGAAAGGTTGTCTCATGTGCAACTGTGATTAGTAAATGATTAGTAGGTACGTAAATTTATGGCACGCCGTTTTACTTTTTAATGTCATATTTATTAAAGCTAAATATTAATTCAAGTTGCTTTTTTAAAGTTGACTGAACATTTTAAAGTTAAATTTGTATGATGTCTTGGTATATTTTCTTAAATTCTGTTTACGAGTGATAACCAACAATTTAATTCATCGAATTTTTCATCGAGAAAATTCGTCTTGCGGTTACAGATTTAAATCTTGTCTAATTTTTATTCCAAAATAAATATTTTACTTTAACTTAATTTTAAATTAATAAATGAAATGGTATTATTTAGATATAAACACCCTTTTTAAATAGAAAAAAATATTCATACAATAAAAACTGAGGCTTAAAAATATAGATCACACCAGAAGGATGTAAATATACAGCGTGTATTAAAACGAATAGATACACTTAAATAGAAAAATAGATATACTTAAATGAAAAAAATATTCATACAATAAAAACTGAGGCTTAAAAATATAGATTACACCAGAAGGATGTAAATATACAGTGTGTATTAAAACGAATAGATACACTTAAATAAAACAAGTGCCAAACCCCGCCCACTGTGGTAGGGATTGAATTTTAGAATTATTTTTGTTTGAGAATTTATAGGTTTTATTTTTATCGAATTCGTTTGTTTTGTTTTAGTGCATTTCTGCAAATAAAAACTAAGTATTGTTTAAAATCCATTAAATTCCAGTTAATGGCGAAAATGTATTTCTTAAAAACTAAACTGCGCACCACTCAATGTGTCGCGACCAAAAAGTTCGTTCTTTTTCAAAACGACATAACTTTTTTGTTTCTTAAACGATTTAATTTTGGTTTGTGATGTCTGCTAGCCTCATCCTCTGGCAATTTATGCTATAGATATGAAGCTCACGGTTGGTCAAGTAAACTTCCTACAGGGTGATATGTTAAACGGTGAAAAATTTCAATAACTTTATCCAAGCCCCGTTTGTAAAAAAATATTTTTTTTGTCGTTTTTACTTTGAAATAATGAAGAATTATTTGTTACCTTGAAACGTTTTTCAAATTTTTCGAATTGGAATCTTAGCAACGAAAATATGATTTTTTTTCCAAAAGAGTACATTTAAGGCTTTTTTTTAGGCAATACACTCAGTCTTTTTAGGAACAAGAAGATAAAATGGTGAAAGATTGTTCCTTAAATAATTCTGAACAAGCGACAAGCAACAAACAGTTGTCAAATTTAAGTTTCAGAAAAAACCAAAATCACTACGAATCAAGATTCGAAAACAATTCCCGGCTGTCCGATTGCTGGTTTTAATGTTTTTTTACATATCGTAAATGAGTATTTAAGAGACCACCATATTGAGAAAATGAATGGGCCACCTTTGTCTCCGGATATGAATCCTATTGAGCATGTGTGGAGCAGGATAAAATTGAAGATAAAATAGAGGGAAGAAGGCATGGAAAATTTGGATGAATTGGTAAATGCTATTCAGGAAGAATGGGGTATCCCAGAAATTTCTAAGAAACTTGGTCGAGGGAAAGCCCAGGAGGGTTAACGAATTATTACGGCTTAGGGGAGGGCCAACGAAATATTGAAAGGTATTATTGTTATTGTTTGTTACATTTTTCTGTTGAATGTTGAAGTTTTGATTATAATTATATCTATAGAAGTTTTGATTATAATTATATCTATAGAAAATTGAAAATTGTATGCGTATACGCATACAATTTTCAAAAATAAACAAAAATATTTTTATTTAACTTTATTATAAATTAGGTAGGTACTTATCAATGATGTTATCACTACTGCGCAATGTAAATGTAAGTTATGTAACATTATCCTAAGCACTCAAACAAATTGCAGTAATTTCGCCCAAAAAATGAATCCCCGAATGGCATTTTTATCATAAATATGCAAGAAACACGACAGCAATCGGATTTTATTAAGACATTTAACAACAGGGAATTATTTTCGAATTTTGATTCTTAATGATTTTGGTTTTATCTAAAACTTAAATTTGACAACTGAATCACAATCAGGAGGTCAAAATTATAAAGAAAACATGTCACGAACGTAAATATCGGTTCAGGTTTAGTTTTCGCAAATTTTCACCAAAATGTCATTTTGAAAAAGTGGTCTTTGCTTAGGCCCCTCTGAAAATAATGGAAGTTTGTTGCTTGTCGCTTGTTCAGAATTATTCAAGGAACAATCTTTTACCATCTTATTTTTTTGTTCTTAAAAAGACTGAATATATTGCCTACCAAAAAGCCTTAAATGTACTCTTTTGGAAAAAAATCATATTTTCGTTGCTAAGATTCCAATTCGAAAAATTTGAAAAACGTTTCAAGCTAACACATAATACTAAAAAATTTCAAAGTAAAAACGAAAAAAAAATTATTGTTTTACAAACGGGGCTTGGATGAAGTTATTGAAATTTTTCACCGTTTTACATATCACCCTGTAGGAAATTTACTTGAAGAACTGTATGCTTAATATCTATAGCATGAATTGCCAGAGGATGGGGTTAGAAGACATCACAGACCAAAATAAAATCGTTCAAGAAACAAAAAAGTTATGTCGTTTTGAAAAAGGACGAACTTTTTGGTCGCGACACATTGAGTGGTGCGCAGTTTATATCCCTACGACAGCGTCGAAGCTACTGAACAAACACAGTAGATCAAACTGCATGCCCTTGTATCTGGCTGCATGCCGCGCTGTTGCCATATAATAATAATAATAATAATAATAATAATAAAAAGTGTTTATTTAGTAAATAAGTTTACCATATGCTATTATTGTTTCCTAAAAGGGTTGTTTTTCTTATTTTTTAATATTAAAAGTAAGAAAATTAACTAAATCAAATTATTTTTGACATATTATTAAGTTAAGTTTCAAACAAATAAAATTGAACTATTTATTAAATAATTATAATCGTTCTGTTCTGATTTAAAACAACCTGGAACTATGGTTCGTAATTACGAATGGCTTGGTTTAAACCACGCCCAATTAAAGTTTGTTTCTTTTTCTCTGATCAGAATATAATTTGTCATCCTTGTCTCCAGCCTTATTTACTTGATTCTATACAGTCTGTATATGGAAACTTATCTGATACACCAAAAAATAAATTGGTAGATTTTAATTTATAATTAAATTTATTTTAGTAATTTTTATGAACGTTTATATTTTCTAGGCAATTTTTAATTTCGGTAATTTTTGTTTTGAGTTAATTTTTTGGTGTCATGAAAAAGTAAAACCGCTTGCCATATAAATTAGTGTAGGGAATAATTAAGTCAGGATAAAAAGTAACATTTTTATCTGAGAGATTAATTTTCTGTAAATTTTGAATAACTGATAAATTTATGTTGCAGTTTTTTTAAATTTGACATTAGGTAAAAAATAGAGCTATATTACTTTAATCTTACACTAGTTTGTTATTTAATTGCAAATTTTGAATAAATTATAATCACAACAAAAAATGCATATTTAATGTTTATTTTCTTTTTTACGGTGTAAATAAAATCCCAAGATGCTGCTTAAAATATTTATTGTTTACATTTATTTACTCTAAATGGTTAGATTCTGTAAGTGAGATTTAATGCTCTGTGCCAAATCCGTATGAACCTTGCCGAACTCGGTGATGACTCTATTCTTAATATCTTCCACGGTGACTTTAACCAATGCGCTTGCGATATTTTTAGCCAGTCTATCCTTCGCACCTGCATTTAAAACGTTTAAGTACATGCATCTGGGTTGAGTGTAGTTATCTTCTTTTCCCAAATTGAACCAGTACTCCTCCCCGGACACCGTTGACGGCTTAGAAACTCCCTTTTCGGCATTTTTGCTTACTTCGGGCCCTCCGAAGCTGTTGGGGTGGTAGTTTGGTGCCCCACCTTGGTTATTAATAGCCATGTGCCCATCGCGTTGAAAGTTCCTAACTCGGAATGGACAGTTTACAGGTATTTCGTTGTAGTTGATGCCCAGACGATAACGATGAGCGTCCGGGTATGAGAAAAGACGTCCCTGAAGAAGACGATCGGCAGAAGCTCCAATGCCTAAACAAATGTCAAAGAACTTTAGTTTATGACAATATTTAATAATAATAGTAATCTTTATTGCCCAACAGATACACGATCTAATGACAGGACAAAATACTAAAAGATAAAATAAAATATGTGGCAGTACTATTAATAACAAAAGTAGCCTATGAGACTAGATATTCTATTCTATTATAGATTAAACACTAAAATTAACAATTAGATCCTTAATTATAGAATTATGAAAGGAAAAATGAATGTCACTACTTTTACAGAGGTCGTTAAAGCAATTACACCTTGAATAAATTGGAGACTTTATCATAATATTTGTTTCTAGAGCAATAAAAAGTTGGATTTTGTCTACTAAACAGTCTAGGTATTTTAAAATTAATTAAACCTAATAAAAGGAGAATCAATTTTATTATTGACTAGTTTGTATAGAAAACTAGTTGAGACTATCAGCCTTCTCAACCTCAATGAGTTCATATTAAATCGAAGCAGAAGAGCATTATTGTCATAACCTCTTGGAGGATAAAAATTGTCAAATTTAAGCGAGGCAAATTTCAAGAATTTTTTTTGAACGTTTTCTAGTCGCGTAATATTAATATAGGGCTCCACGCTAAGGCGGCGTACTCTAATTTTGTTCTTACAAACGCGTAGTACAAAATTTTTAGCGAATTTTCATTAGTAAACGATCTGGTATTTCGTATCAAAAAGCCCAGCATTTTGTAGGATGACTTGGAAATATTTTTTATATGCAGGTTAAATGATAGATGGTTATCAAAGTGAACTCCTAAATCTACAATTGAGTCGCATTTTTGTAGATGAGTTTCATTCAAGAAATATTGAAAATTGATTGTGTGTTTTTGTTTGTATAAGATATAGTTTTGCATTTAGAAGTATTCATATATTCATTATATTTCTTTTATATAAAATGTTTAGCATTTTTTTTTTCATTTACCCAACTTTTTGACACTTCTTCTTTAGGGACTAAAAAGGAGTCTGGAACGGTAAAATTGGTGCAAATATCTAAATCAATGAAACGTTATCGTTATGTACTACAACTAGCGTTTTAAAGCGTCGAAATTTTAAAAATCCACACATTTTAATAAAAGGACCATTTTTTATGTTATTTATAAATAAATACTTTATTTTTAATTAATTATAAAAAGTTATGAACCAATTGGCAAGGCGTAAAAAACACTTTAAAATCAGCGAGACCAACGTTCAACGTTATGTGGACGTTGTGCTTTTTCAGTCGTTATCAATAAGGAAAACTCCTTATCAATAAGAAATTTCTCTTAGCGACGCGTTGCGCATGACTACCCTTGTGATTGTTATTCTTAGCCGTTAATTCGTATGCGATTTTTTTTTGAAACAGTGGTTTACCCCTCGTCAATTAGTTCTTTTTTTAAATCCAATTTTTCCAAAAAAAGACATTGTTTTCGCACATATCAGAAACAAAAACAAACAATAACGGAAAATTGGTAAAATTTACTTTTGCATCTTTTTCGTACGAATAGGATAATTTTTCATTTTTTCCCAATTTTCAGGAAAATTGATTTTTGGATTCATTCATGTTTTTTCTCTAAGCCTTTAAAACATTGATCAACTGAAAAAATTAAGGAAAAATTAATTTTGATTTTTTTTGTATTATCCGTACTCTTCTAAAATGAATTAGTTAAAAATTACCTACTAATTGTCATTGCAAAAAAGCAGCCACTAATAATTCTTGTCACTATAGTGATACAAATTGCTATAGCAATTTGTATCCAGACACTCAATTTCTATGAATATTTCCCTCGTCTTAATTTCCACCAATCACAAACGCGTAATTTGTTTCTAGTTGGAAAAACTGTCAGCAGATTTTTCGAGTTTACCTGCGGCAAAACTTGACAGCTGTTGTCACCAAAATGCAATTTATATTTTAATTGTACCATAAATAATTAAGTTTTTAGTATTATGTGATTAAATAAATTACCTATTTTTCAGTTTTAAAATTATTACCTACATATTTATTATGTATGCAAATGAAATGTGTTTAGAAAGAATGGTAAATAGCAGGTAGGTAGAATTATTGAGTTTAAAAATAGATATGTTAATTTTATTAGCAAAACCCGAATGCCTCCGAACAATTACAATGGAGCATTCAAATGGACATTACTTCTTTCCGTAACTGTACATTGTACATTGTACAATAGGTAGTATGTTTTGTAAGCTATGTGTATGCAGAATAACTGTTACTCATGAAATAGTCTTGTCAAATACCATTCAGGCATCTAACTTTTCCTGTGAAAAAAATCGAAAAAATACAATGCTATAAGTAATATTTATAACAAAATGCTTTCGTGCAGATGCAAAAACCCTCGTCTTCGACTCGGATTTTTGTGGCCACCAGCACTCATGCTTCTTGTTAAAATATTACTTGGCAACGTGTTTTTTCGATTTTTTTTTGAAAAATTAGATGCCCTTATGATTTTACTTACGAAAAATTATTCGCTGAATTCAAAAATTTTCCATATAATATACGGAATTGATTATATCTCAAAAACTGCTTTACTTTCATAATTTTTAACGGTATTTTCGGATTCAGGGGGCAATTTTACTTAAGAAATGTGCGGGAAACAAATTGCTGTGTACTACAGTTATTAGTAGCTGCTTTTTCATTTTTGACTAGTTTATTTTTAGAGAGCATATTCTGAGAAATATCATGTGATGAAAAGTATAGGAAATTATATTAATTTAAATAATCGAGTATATTTGACTCAAATGGAAAAATTTATATTCATTTACCAACAGTTTTACAATATATTTGAACACTTTTAAAGTGCACCCTCTTTAAAATATATGTACGAACATAAATCTATTTATTTTATTGCGTTTCAAAAAGCTATGCATTATAAAATTTGTATACACCTATGCACCAATCATGCCAAAACATATTTAAATCCCTTTGGATTATTATTGTTTTTATTGATTTCATAACATTTTTTCTCTGAGCACTAGTATTCCGTAATACCCGTATTATGGATAATGCAAAATTCAATTTTTCTGCAATATTTTAATTTTCCGTTAAAATGCTAGTGATTTTTTAAAGGCCCGAAAAAAAATATGAGAATAAATAAAAAATTAATGTTTGTGAAAATTCGTAAAATTGGAAAAAAATCGAGTCGTACTACGGTTATTACAAAAAAAATCAAAATAAAATGTTCCAAATTTTCCGTTTTTATTTCGAGAAAACGCTGTTTTTTCGCCGGCTTATAAAAATTATCATTTTTCCGGAAATTTTAGCACACTAACATACCAGATTTAAAAAAAAATTGTCAATTATGAATTTAAAAAAACATTGCCTTTAGTTTAATTAATTATATTATTAATACTTTTTACATTAAACTTACTACATCCATCATAATATTATTATTATAAGAAAACCTTAGTTCAAATATAATTAATACTTGTGCGGTATTTCAAAATAAATAAAGCATCGAATGGCACTTAAAACTAATAAATCAAAATGGATGAAACCAAGAAGTGTACGTAGAAGTTTATAGATTTATTTTGCAGAAAAAAATGCACTTTCTCAACATAAAACACATTCTATCTCTGATTAGCTTTAAAATTTATTACCCGTTGAAAGCTTTATGTTACTTAAAAACTTGTATTTCTTTCACGGGTGAGTTTTTATCAATTAGCATTCCTTCTCAGTGAGTGAGTTTGCTTTTAGCTTCTCCTATCTTTAGTATTATTAACTGAAAAATCTATTATAATAATTATCAATGATAAATAAAGTCGCGTACCTGGCGTGAGGTTGCTGGGTTGGAAAGCTATCTGCTCAACTTCTGCGAAATAATTGGTCGGATTTCTGTTAAGCACAAATTTCCCAACTCTTTTTAAAGGGAATTGTTTCTGAGGCCAAACTTTCGTGATATCGAACGGATTAAAGTCCAGTTTTTTAGCTTGTTCCGGTGTCATTGTCTGAATGTAGAACGTCCAGGATGGAAACTGACCCCGGGAAATTGCGTTGTATAAATCCTCAAGAGCATAGTCTGGATCAGTGCCTGCCAGTTTGTCTGCCTTGTCAGGATCCAAGTTTTTTATACCTATAAAACATTTGGTTTCATTAATTAATTAAAAAAATAATCATTACTGTCCCAACCAGGGTTAGCATACATCAATTCAGTGATTTAATTCGTGAATTAAATGAAATCATAATGAAATGGCATGAAATAATTCAAACTTTTACTTCTAATTTTGAGTAAAATAAATTAAAAAAGAACAGTGAAAATGACTTTTTCCAGGTCTAAATAAATGGACATTGTATTACAATGGTTATAACAATAGGTATATTATACTGCCATGTTAAGCTAAACCCTCGTATCTGCAATATTAATTATTAAAGGACAAAAGATCATTTTCATTGTTAAAAACAATAAAAACTATATTTTGTACTTTATTATTTAATATTGCAGATATGGGGATTTAGCTTAGTATGGTTAATTTAAATGTGTTTCTGTATTGTAAATTACAAAAAAAAATTTTCCTGACGTAAAAAAAGTCATACCTTGATCAGTTCTGTAGATGAACTTGACCCAGGTCAGTTTTCTGTCTGGTCCAATTAACGAAAACGTGTGCGATCCATAGCCGTTCATGTGCCTGTGTCCATCCGGAATGCCTCTATCAGAAAACAGTATCATAAATTGATGTATCGATTCCGGGCTCAGAGACATGTAGTCCCAGAACATGTTCCAGTCTCTGGTGTTGGTCACTGGGTTTCTTTTCTGCGAGTGGATGAACATTGGAAAATTAATCGGATCTCTCATAAAGAAAATTGGAGTGTTATTACCAACCAAGTCCCAAATACCTTCCTCGGTGTAAAACTTAATAGCAAAACCTACAAATAAAATTATTCAAACAATTAAAAATACTCGTCACCCCTGTGACAACTTAATTTAATATGGTCTTATACAGGGTAACTTTTAAATTTTAAATCAAATAGATAAACAAATATTTAATTTATATATCACGTCATTTCATGATATATATTGACGATATACAGGGTGCCCCAAGTATCCTTCTATGTAAGAGTATCTTTTTTATTTAAAGAGCTACTGGGTCGGTTAAATTAGACAAAAGTTGCGTAATTACACATAATTTAAAAAAACTAAAAACCTGTCAAAATCTGGGATTTTTTTTGCCTACTAGATTTTGAGATACCACCAACATCTTTTGTTTTTCCTATGGCCACCATTTTGCAATTTTACCAGGTTAGAACAAAAAAATTAAGGAATCGAACGATGTATCAAACTATATATGTTATGCCGGTCATTATAAAAACAAAAGATGGTAATGGTAACTCCAAACATAGCGAAGAAATTGGATACAAATGGAGATTAATGTGTATACTTGTTTCAAAATTTCCAGGATTAACAAAGTTATAAGGATTTTTGCTTTTGAAAGGTTTTTAAATATTTTAACAACCGCTAGCTTTTTTCCAATTTATAAATTTTATTTGAATAGTCTTGTAATTATGCAACTTTTAGAAGGATACTCGGTGCACCATACAGGGTCAACTATTTATTTTATAATGTATATTATCATATTATAAATATAATCCAGCATGCTCCATATTTTCATACAATTAAATATTATCAATATTTTTTTTGATAAAGAAATTTTATGATTAATTGTTGAATTAGATAAATAATTTATTTTTTTCAGTGGAAATTTGGATTTATATTTGAATTTGTATAATTTATATTTAAGTATGAAACTATATTAACAAAATTTTAAAATAAAACATACACAGGGTGTTTCAAAAACATGTGCCATCTCTCGTGTGATTTCTTACCCAAAAATAAGACAAATCAATATGGGACCGCAGATGCTTTGTTTAAAAGATACAGGGTGTTTTCAAAATATTTTCGAAACGTTTATAGTAATTTACGTAAAATTTGGGTTGTGAAAAGTACCTTAAATAGAATATATTTAGAAATAAAAACGTGATCTTGACTGCTAAATGTCCGGGATACATGTTGAATTAATACAGGCTGTTTTTTTATCATAACAATTGAATTCTTTTGTATCAAAACCCCTTAAATCCGTTTTAATAAAACATGAGGTACTCTCTAAAAATGAATTAGTCAAAAGTAACTAATTTAATAGTTAATAGTGGCTGCTACCATGGTATTCCAAAATTTAACAGCCAATTCTTATGTAAAATTTTCCCCTGAATCAGAAAATACCGTCAAAATTTAAAAAAGTAGAACAGTTTTTGAGATATAGTCAATTCCATATTAAATGTAAAATTGACTATATCTCAAAAACTGTCCCACTTTTTTAACTTTTGACGACGAAAGTCTACATACAATATGTCAAAAAAAGTCCCGAGTTTACCTCTTGGGTCTCTGACAGTATCTGCGGATCCCAAGTTTCCAGCCACCTGTGAAAACCTAACGGCAATGGGAGTTTTTTTTCCAACCCGTTCAAAAACCTTGGATATGGTGAGGTCGGTGATATCGTCGGTGACTTCAAAATAACCAAAAGCTCCGGCGCCTTTGGCGTGGACAATTCTCTCAGAAATACGTTCTCTATTAAATGACGCGAGCTGTTCTATTAGATTCCAGTCCGTAAGCACAATAGGGCCATATTTTCCCACGGTGATACTCGTATCCTTATACACCAAGGGCACACCCGATGCGTCTGTGCTATGTTCATCGCTATCGGGATGTTTCTTCTGAAAACATGAGCTTATAAATCATCGATAATAAATTCGATGCCAATCTAAACGGCACAGATTCCGAGCATTTCTTGCAAATGGTCCTTTGACAAATTAATGAAAGTTATTGAATGTCCCGCATTTTTGTGTGTTGCAAAAGCACACTTAAGCGTTCGCGGCATTTACTGCATTGGTACAGAAAACTCACCTTATTTTTGCTATACCATAATTCCAGTTGCTGTTGAGCGGGCGTAGGCTTCGACATGTTTACTTTACACTTCTAGAAAGCACGTAAAACAATCGCAATTTTTTCTTTCTTCTATATATACCTATTCGTTTTAAGGGATGTGGTTTAATACAATACAATTGTTTGTGTTTACTTTACTTTACGATGGGTTATCAGGTTTTTCCTGTTATTTTTTTTTACCACAGTTTAATATAAATCAGGGTTGTTTAGTGGTTTTAAGTAGCAGACTAAAAATATTTACGTTACTCCATAGGTATATATTTTTTTTTATTTAGCATGCACATAGTGCAAAATATAATTACGTCTATTTGGATGTGCATTTCCTAATTAAATTAAATTTTTCATTTGTTTAGTATTATTTTGTTTTAAATTATGAGAAACAATTAAAATCCTAAGAGCTTTAAAATTTACTATAGGTATTATAATAAAATTCCATAAGTATATATGCATATATATCTGAGTACTTTTGAGTTATTAAACATTTGTTTAACAAGCCGAGCAACGCTATTACCGAGGGCAGAGCCCGCGGGTCAACCACTAGTACTTCGTATTGGCAACATATTATAATACCATATATTTTTTAACAATGTATAAATTTGTTTTAAATGGGTTTTATATATTTCATACAACGAAATGATATATTTTAGCCTACAAATGTATAGTAGATTTATTAATTTTTAAATTTTGAATACGCCACTGCATTAAAATAAACATATTATTAGCTTTTCGACCATTGATTTTTAATTTAATTAACTGTATATGTTTTTGACAGTTATATTAATCTACTATAAAAAGTTTACTACAATAACTGACATTTACAGTGCCAAATAGAACGTTAAAATTACTGTATTGTAAAGAAATATTTCAAATACTTAAAAAGCAATAATTTTTAATGTTTTATTAAATAAAGAAACGGAACGGAATATTGCATATATTATTGTTTATACTGTCTTAAAATAAATTAGTTAAAAATGACTAATTGTCATAGCGAAAAAGCAGCCACTAATAATTCAACAGCAATTTGTATACCGGACATGTAGCAGTCAATTCCCATGTACACTGAGAGACAAGAATATTTTTAACAAACGTTGCAATTGTTTGAGCCTGATTGCTTTTAATCAAACAACTGAAATTTAATTCAAAATTAGTGTTTTTGCTTAGAATGGGTGAACTGCGATGCCAGAAATGGATGATTCGTTTAGGCTGCTGTGTTTGCTTGGAATATTATTAAGTTATATGCAAACTTTGTACTGATAGTCAATAATATTAGGTTTTCTACGTTTGAATAAAATTTAGGTGGGTTTTCATAAAACGTGCACTATTTTTCACTAAAATTTATTAATGGGTTAACTGAAATAGATAAAACTAATAATAAATCTGCTACAATTTTTGCGAATAGCTCAGCATTTGTAACAAATTGTCATTGTCATTAGTCATAATAGGCAACGCATTGTGAACTTGACATTCTCCCAAATAACTTGAGATTCTCCCAAGTGCATGGGTTTAAAATTGTTTATCTACTCCTACATTGACGAGCTGTGACTTGATGGTGTTTTAGTCACGGTCTGAAGTTATATATATATATATTATAAATTAGGGAAAAGTAAGGTTAATTCCGTTAAAATTTGACAGATGTCAAATGTTTAACAAATAAAATTGACTTTAAATTCTTCGTTGTGTTCGTCATAGATAAAGTATAGGGTGCAACTCGTTTTATAAACTTCTCCAGACACTCGTTTTTATTAAACACTCGCTCGCAAGCTTCGCTCGTGCCTAATAAAACTCGTAACTTAAATAGCGTTTATAAAACTTGATACATAATATACTATTAATAGTTTATCAATTAAATAAATAAATAAGGAATATTTTTTAATAGAAAGCTGATTTATAATTTAAGTAATGTTTTTTTAATATATTATAGTATAATATAGTAAAAACCTATATGTGTAAATGTAAATACAAAAATATTATACTATAGTACATGTTCTGCTTTAGGTTTCCACGGGCGTTATATGAATTATATTTTATCTTCAAAGCACAATTTTATTTGTTAAACTAAACCTAAAACAAACAATTATAATAATATCAAGCTATCAAATTCTTTCATAAATTCAAACGGGGTTTTTTACAGACTAGGAGGTAAAAAAACTTTACCCGATTGGTCTAAATTATTTTTACAGCCTAGGCTTTAGTAGTAAGTATTAACAATAATAAAGTTTAAATTATGGTACGCTTGCAGATAAAATATGTTTTTTATTTGTTTGTCCCCAACCAAACTGCTCCGAAGCCACTGCCTGTATGGTTATTCTTAAACACTCATAAAAACTGGACTTCTTAGTTGTTTGAATATTGTGGGAAAAGTGACTTAAAAAGCTTGAAATGCACTTAAAACGATTTAATGAACAAACAAAAACGTTCTTTGTCTTCGGTTCAATTAGCACTTATTTTTTTCGTTCTCAAAGCGAAAAACCGTCCTAAATCATTTTCAGAGAACTTATTTTTCGAGCGGGCGCACTTGGAAATGGTTTACGGTCGCCCTCCTATTCAATTGGCTCATTATTTCGGCGATCTTTTTGTAGGTGCTCTCAAGTAAAGTTTATAAGTCTAAGATAAATCTTTGCAGCTGTGTAGATGTTAAGTAAAAATAAATAGGAGGGCTTATAAATTATTATTATAACCAAATAGACCAATTAATCGTATTCACATAAAAAAATACCTATAATTAAAAACATAAATTGCAGTAAATTGAAAAAAAATGAATCCCTGTCTAATAAAACTAAACGTATTTTGCCTTTGAAATCTTCCTTTAAATCACGGCTTTGGATGGATATTTCTGATTTTGACAAACTTTTATTTAACTTGCTCAAGCACCAACTAATTAGTGTATTACAAATCTTGCAACTGAATTTTAAACCAGTTTTACCACTAAAAATTATAATTTATTCAAAATGGTCGCTGCTCCAAGATGGCTGATCACAACCTCCTTGACATGGGTATCAAATAAAAGGGTTTAACGAGTAGAAAACTATAGGTGAGTAACGTTATTTTAAATTTAATATGGCAAAAGTCCCAAGATGGCGGGTAACCTATTTTTTTACCTCAACCTCATCAGGCGTGACAAATAGTGGCGGCCATTCAAAGATTTCCTCCCCCTATCTACATTATTACCATTGTTTTTTGTGTTTTAGTGCATGGCTTAAATAATTGTTTTTTATGTCATTGGGCTGAGAAATGAGTTTTTTGTGCTGAGCCTAATTGAGTAAAGCGCCAAAAGACACTTCTTAGACGAATGACATACAACATTTGAGGAGCATCCGTGCAAAACCGGCTAAATCCATTTTATTCAGTTTTTGGTTTTTTTTATTTCTCATCTTTGGGTTCCTTTCTATCGACAACCAAGATAATCCTGTTTAAATCCGACTATATCCATGTTTAAATCACATTTAAAAGGTAGCTTTAGGAGCAAAACCGGCCAAATCCACGTTTTTATAGCAAACCCGGCTATATCCAATAAATAACCTGCTATATACAAAACATTTTTTGAAATTTTGGCCTTAATATAATTGAATCAAATTTACCCGTTTATTTAAATTAATATCATTTCATATGCTTTTCATGACATGATATTTCTCTGAGTGTACATATATTTTTTGATTGGTTCAAACGGGTTTTAAAAACCTGAGCGATCATGAATCACTTTAGTAGTGATTTTAATACAATAACTATTAGTAGTGAGTGTTGACAATAATAAGGTTAAAATTGTAGACTGCGTGAAAATAAAAGCTATTTGCTATTTTATTTTAGGAATATTTTTATTAATGCTAAACGCTTTTTTTGAGACACTGTATTAATTAAAGGTAAATTACACTAAATTATATTCAAATGCAAGATTATTATTCCGTTTTTTAAATTTTGAGGATGTTAGCCCTATTTGCATTATTAACTATTTATTCGTATAGAATGCGATTTTAAAATTATTATAGCAAAATATCCTTTTTGCTAAACGTATAACAAATAAAGAAGATGCAATTTAAGAAATACCGGTATTCCAAAACTTTCGATTGAATTTTTAAATATTATTAAGTATTACTAAATGCCTTTTTCTTAAAGTTCAAAAACGTTAAGCCATAATTTGTAGCGTACCGTTTCGGCTAATCCTATTTGTGTGCACTAAAATACCAAAAGGGCAATGTTACCAGACGTGAAATCTTAAGATGCCCGAAACCCGAAACTAATTGTTGCAAATCCTAAAATTTATTAAATGTAATCGGAAAAGAAGGTTTTTAAATATTTTTTTGTTTCAAAACAATTTCAATAGAAATGTATAACGAAAACCTGTTATTTGATTAAATTTTGCAAATATAATCAAAAACAGTTTTGTATGTTTAAAGGTCAAAGCCAACTTTCTTGCACAAAATATAAAGAAATAATTTGCAATAAAATTTTTATGAATGAATTTATTAAATATTAATGTATAATAATTATAAAGTTTGTATAACTGTTAGAGATGTAAAAAAACGGTTTTTTTTTTTCAGATGTGAAAAAAACCTAAAAAACCGGTTTTTTTTGTTTTTTTTCAAAATGAAATTTTGAGTAAAATGTAGAATATATTACATTTTTCATTATTGAAAATTTTGACCAAGATTAAAAAATCTGATTTCTTATTATTTGGTAGTTTCCACATTAAAAACCAATAGCAATGTAAAACTTCTACACTAATACAAAAAATTAAAGGATACAAATTTTTTTTCGGATAGCTGTATATTTGTTAAAAATGGTCATATTGGAGCCGTAAAAAAAAAGCAATTTGAAGCTTGAAGTTTATAGTTTTGAGATTTTTAGATGAAAAACGTGCAATTCTAACGAATACCGTAATAAAAAATCGATTTTTTTATTTCTTTTTTGGTCCCCGGAATGTTCTGACCACCAATAAATAAATGTTCTACAAGAATTTGCTTTTGTTAAAAAAAAACTAAATTTAAATTATAAAATATCTATTAATTTTTGAGTTAAAATTTAAATAAAAAATTTAATTTATAATAATTTTTAATCTTAATTTATTTTTTTCTTTAGTGAACATTTTCGACACCTTCATAAAATTAAAATATTAATTTTTGTTTTCAAATGCAATGATATATATTTTTTCGGGACTGATCCCGGGATTCCGAGATTAGTTACCTTTGGTCCCGAAAACGCCATTTCTTTAAGATTTGTCTTTGTTACAAAGAAACATGAATTTAGAAGATCTTCATTATATGTCGCGAAATGCCGTGCTTTTTCTTAATAAGTCAGTACTGATTTGGATCAAAGGCTTAAATAATTTGAAATAAAGAAAAGCGTGTTTTAAACAACATATTAGGTTCTTTTCTCAAAAACTGTCCTTTTATTTTAAATCTATTGAAATTTGAGTAAATAAATTTAGATGTTTGAAACAAAACCCAGGTTCCTTATTTTAAGGCTATAGCATTTCATTTAAATGATTTTACTTTTTTAAACAAAATCCGGGTTTCTTATTTTAAATCCATTAGCCTTTGATTTAAACAATTTTGTTATTTGTATCTATGGGCATTTGAACCAAAGTCCGAATTTCTTTAACTGAAATTCTTTAATTTTGTAAAAATTACTAACGCATGCAGTTACTTAATACTTATCAGATTTTGCAGATGATAGCCCCTTCCACTCTTGGTTAGATTCGTTTCTTTACATAAGTGATTCCTTAACCTGTGGTTAGTCCGTCAGGAATGCTGTCCCTTGTCACCTTATTACTTCCGTGTCCGTATGGACTTTATCCCTGTATTCATATGTTGAAAAATTGCTTTTTAAGGCACTAGTTTAATGTTTCTATTAAGGCTTTGGAGAACAAGCACACTGATTTTACCAGCACAGGTAGTAAAACTTAGCACTAATTTTGCACGGTATTCCTTGAACTACACTGTATATGAGCGATTTTTATTTTTCTTTAAGACTTTTATTGTGGTTAGGTACTTAAGAGCGCTCGAGCTTTAACAAATCTGTTCGCCTTCCCGTCTGTGTTGTCACGATATAAGATATGCATTAATTAAAGACATGGGCTGTATATGAGATATTTTTAATTGACGCATATATTTATAATTGTCATGGTATAATATACATTAGGGTGGTCCAAAAAAGTTAAGTTGATTTTACAGATTGTCTCACCCCCCAATTTTTTTTATCTTCAACATTAATAAAAAATTTCCAAAATTTTAGGCCCCTAGGTGTATTAGAAGGGAGTGCTCATTAGCTAAGAGATTTCAGTTTATTTAAAAAAACCATTACGCCATCTTTTCACTGGTTAGATAAAATGTATACATTAATGTTACAATTACCAAAGAATATTATTTACCTAAACATATATTTCTTACACACCCTTACCTTTAGTATATGCCCTACATTCCGAACAAAAAACTAGTTCAATCAGCTAATCCCGCACCTTTCCCTAAGAAACTAAAAACTACACTTTACAGTTTAAATGTCATAAGTGCTTTGAATAGGGAAAATGTCTCAGACCGTGAAATTCTAAGGCTTATAGTACCGATTGCGATAGCACTGGGAAAAGATCCGCATGAAATGCCGTCTCGCAGCACTATTTGCCGGAGACGAAAACATGAAAGAAAGAAAATATATCAAACAAAGTTTTTCTTGCAAAGGTTTAGTTTTCGTTCATTGGGATGGTAAAATTCTTTCTGATTACCACTGCTCAACTAAAGTAGAACGTTTACCAGTACTGGTTTCAGCAGATGGAAATGAAAAGTTATTAGGAGTAGAGCAAATGCAGTCGGAAACGTACTTCGATAGTGGAATCTGGTGGATAAAGTATGAGCAATGTGTTTTGACACAACATCTGTAAATACTGGAATGAAGAATGGATGCTGCGTTTTGCTTGAGAAAAAATTGGCAGATACTTACTTTGGTTAGCCTGCAGTCATCATGTTTTGGAAATAATTCTTAGTAAGGTTTTCAAGTTCTGCTGCTCTCCGGATATTCCAATTTTTAATCGATTTAAAATAATTTGGGTACCTATTGATCGTAACTACTTCAAGTCCTCAGACCTAGAACCGTCGAAGAATTTTGAATTTTACAAAAACTCCACAATCCCCTTGTTGCTAGCTGAATTGAAACAAAAGTCTCAACGTTATGACGACTACTTGGAACTGATCGAGTTGGCTTTGGTCGTTTTGGTGAAATCTGGATCAAGGCACCGTGTGCCACTAAAGCTCCTATGTCCGACCTAACTTTTTGAAAAGATTTAGAACGCTATGAGGAGATTGGGAAAAGCGAGGATGCTAAAGATACTCTGAAACATTATCTTTGGTACTTATCCAATGAACTCGTTAATAATATAATAATAATAACAACAACAATAATAATAATAATAATAATCATAATATTAATATGTACCTACTTTGTCTACGCAATAAATTATTTCTTACTTATATTTTTTCAAGGTCGACTGTGTGTTGTAAAACTTCGAGTTGTAAATGATATAGCGGAAAGAGGGGTAAAACTATTTGAAGAGCATAATGGTTGGTTGGTTGGATACGATTTGGCAATAAGCATTCACTTCTTAGCCACAGATATTTGAGAAGAGCATAATCAATTATAAAAAATGAGGACGAAAAGCAAGACTTGTTACAAATCGTAGAAGCGAATCGGAAATCTGTTCCGACAGAAACCAAAAAAAGCTGCAATTTATGCTACTAAGAGTTGTGGACCATGATTTTCATGTGGATATATTTTCTTCAGATTCATTCTATCATAGCTGTGAGCACTCCCTTCTAATTAAGCTAGAGGGTTCAAATTTTGTAAAATAACTTTTTTTACTTTGTATAAAAAAATTAGAGGGTGAGAATAAGTATATTTACAACTTCACTTTTTTAATTCGTTTCTGGACCACCCTAATATACATCTTATAACATGACAATAAGAAATCGATGATTTTTTTTCTAGTATGCACTTATACATATAGATGTTTAGCTATAATAAAATATAACAGCTTATGTAGTCTTATCCGGCCCTATGTGCATACACAGATATGTATGTATAATATACATTGTATATGAGCCATTCCACGCGTAACGGATAGGACAGTTGCCGTGTTTTTATTTACAAAATAATATTGTTCTATTATATTACAAAGTCCCGTCCGTTACGCTTTAAATTATTAGTTTTTAAGGAATTAAACAGTCAACCACGATACCTAATTTTGCCAAATAAAAACCTTGTTAAACAGCTTTAGTTTAGAACTATTTATAAAAATTTTACATTGGTAATATAATGGAACAATATTATTTTGTAAATAAAAACACGGCAACTGTCCTATCCGTTAAGCGTGGAATGGCCCATATCGAATCCGGGATTTATAAATCAGTACCATCGTAAAACTATTATATTAGGTGACATTAATCTCGAAGAAATTAGTCGCCATTTTAATTTAATCCGAATTTTTTTATCAAGGCTATTGGTCCAAAACTCGGAAAAGTTTATACCAAATTTAGAAGACGTGTTTGTGTAAAGGAACAATTGACTGTAATTATTTTTCTTCAATAAGCTCTCTAATTACATTTAAATTTTGATAATAATTGTGTAATAATAATTGTATTATAACTAGGTAAGTAAATTATTAACAAATTATGATCATTATTTTGTGAAATTATCCGACGGCATTTAGTGCATCTTTAGCCGGAATTAGTGGCGGGCGGGCATTCAGTCGGTCCTTCATGCCTGCGTGGGCGTTCTACGACAATGGAAATGACGTCAGACAAGTAACAGGAGAGCAGAAACGCAAAGAGCTGCTGAACTCAGCCGAAAGGTCCATCACTATCCGGGCCGAGCGCCAAAAATCTGGTCGATAGGACCGCATAAAAATATCCGAGTTTAATTAACAATAGATTTAGTTTTTATAAACCCTTAATGCACTTGCGGAGGTATTATTTCAAAATGGAACAAAGATCGCGCGGTCAAAAAACCCGACCAACAATAGAAAATAATGGAAGAGTACGTGTACAAAGATGGAAACAACAGCAACGGCAAGCGACTTTGGAATGCAAAATGAAGCAACAGCAATTGTATACGCCGGCATCACGATCCAAAGATAAAGTGCCGTTTTACTTTTATTTGCACCTTATAAATTGCCAGGCGCACGGTACGGAATTTACTGGACATTTGTTGTTCGCCAAATGTCCAATTTACATCTTTTTGCGTCCATCTTAAATAAAACTTCATATTAAATTTTTATAATAATATATTCAGGTAACGGTACATTTAACACAATGTAAATAATAAATCTTATTATTTTACATTTTTTTATGGAGTTTGTTTTTCCAACAAAAATAATGTTTTTTAATGTTATCGTGGCTCTATAAAATAAAGCTTTACATATTTTTGAAGGGTTAGTGTAACAGAATGTGAAAATCCATTTAAAAATAACCTAAAGTCAATAGGCACTCTTCTAGCGGTGTGGCCAAAAAGTAACCATTTTTGTTCTTAGCTAAAAAGCAACTACCTATATATATATATATATATATATATATATTAGGGTGTCCCAAAAAAAAAGAATATTTTTTTTCTTCTCGTCTCTTGTGAAAATATGTTGGTTTGTCATGTTTTAAGAGCCCTGTCAAAAGATCAGCACCATTAAAAATTTTTTAAAAACTACCAAAATCGTCAAAAATTGGATTTTTTTTAGTTTTAATTTTTTTTCTCGTTCCGATATTATTTTTTAATTTAAAAATAATAATGATTCTGAAAATTTCAAATCGATATTTTAATTTCTAAAGGTCGCTCAAGATTTTTTTAACTTACAAAGTAGAGTATTTTGAATGTTTTCGAGCGACCTCTGAATATAAATATCAACGAACTTTTAGCGACCTTTAGAAATCAAAATATTGATTTGAAATTTACAGAATTTTTATTATTTTCAACCTAAAAAATAATATCGAGACGAGAAAAAGAATTAAAATAAAACAAAAATTCAATTTTTGACGATTTTGAAAATTTTTAAAAATCTTGAGCAACCCCTACAAAATTTTTAATCGAGCTGATATTTTGAAAGGGCTCCTACAGCATGATAAACTAACATATTTTTACAAGAGACAAGAAAAAAAAAGAAATTCCTTTTTTTTGGGACACCCTAATATATATATATATATATATATATATATATATAAAGAACTACTTACTTTACTTTAACTTACTTTTTTTCCTAATGAAATAAATAATAAATAATATTATTTAAGTTATAAAGTCCAAAAAAAATCGTTAAAATAAAGCTTTTAAAATTAAGTTTTAAATTTAAAATTCGCGCCTCTAGGATGTACTTTACCGCTTTAAACTATTAAATTGATTTAGTAATATTAATAGTCGCTAATTAATCCAAACGTCCAGGCTAAGGATGTAAAGAATTACAACTAAAAAATTTAGTGTAAAAAAGTAGGGTACATTCAAGGTCTTATTCTTTTAATATATTTAAAGCTAAATTAAAAATATCACAATTATCTTTAATCAGATTGTAACGAATTTATAGGAGAATTATTTCGTTCATTGTTCTTTGCAGCTTCTACATAAAAAGCTTGGTGATACCTAGAATTTGGTCTTGGAATAAAAAAAATTATTTTTAAGAGAATATCGGGGTCAAAAATTATACCGTGGACTATTTTATATAGACTATTCCACTTATTACTTTATGGACCAATCACATTTCAGAAAACGAGGGGTTTTTCAGTTTTGCAGCGATAAAACTATTATTTAGGTGAATATTTTCCTCGTCTTCATTTCCACCAATCACAAACGCGAAATTTTGAATTACAAATGGTTTCTAGGTGGAAAAACTGTTTGACAGCACCTGTCAGCAGTTTTTTCGAGTTTACCCGCGGCAAAACTTGACAGCTGTTGTCACCAAAATTGCAATTTATATTTTAATTGTACCATAAATAATTAAGTTTGTAGTATTTTGTGATTAAATAAATTACACTGAAAAAACAAATCTGTTTTATCAACCAATAAATTTTTTGTTGCAATTGTTTTTGTTGGTCCTAATAAAAAATTTGTTAACCCAAGTAAAGTGTTTAATACATTAGTATTTGCAACAAAAATTAATTTGTTGGAAAAAATTAGTTTACCCTCGTCGCCGCTAATAGGTATCCTTAAGTAAACATAACAAATATGTTTTTGTTGTCAATTTTCGCCCAAAATTGACATGATGTGACATTGAAATTTATTTTATAAAGTTGACCGACTTGGTGCCATGGATAAAGTTAAGTCTTGGTGTCATAGTGATTGAATAATAAAAAAATAATTTGTCACTGTCAAAACATTTTTGTGCAAATGCTAGAGGAAGCAGGTTCGCGTTAATTAATTTTTGTGCATTGGGCGTTATGGATAAAGGAGTAAACCAAATATTAACCGAGTGGGGATTTTCTTCATTAGAATATACTTTTAAAGGTACCAAAATAATTTTTGTTAAAAAAAACCAAACAATATTAACCTATACCTACACAATATTGTTAATGCAACTCTTTTTATTAATTAGTATTACATACTGAAAGAGGTGCTTTAACAATATTGTGTAGGCATAGGTTAATATTGTAACAAACATTATTTTTTGGTGATTAAAAGAACTACCAAATGTTATAACAACAAAGCAACAATGTTGTAGTTACTCATTACCATAGCTTTTCCAACAAATAGATTTATAATGAAAACAAATGCAAAAAGTTATAGAAACAAATAAATTATTACCTAAAACAAATGTAAACTGTTTTAACAACAAAATATTATTGTATGAGATATCAATAATATTAGTTACTTTAAACAAGACGCCATGGTTTTGTCAACAAAAAATATTAGTTACAGTAACATATTATGTCTCAACAAAAAAAATTTGTTGTTGTAACAAAGATTTTAGTTGAGGCTATAGCTACAAATAAAATTTGTTGGCGCAACTTTTTTTTAGTTGCTTAAACAAATTATGTTTTTCAGTGTACCAATTTTTCAGTTTTCAAATTAATACCTACATATTTATTATGTATCCATGTATAATACGTAGTATGTTTTGTAAGGTATGTGTATGTAGAATAACTGTTACTCATGAAATAGTCTTGTCAAATACCATTCGGGCATCTAATTTTTCCTGTGAAAAAAAATCGAAAAAACACAATGCTAAGTAATATTTTTTAACAAAATGCATTCGTGCTTCTTGTTAATTAAAATATTACTTAGCAACGTGTTTTTTCGGAAAAATTATATGCCCTTATGATATTACTTACGACTATTTCCCCTTGTCTAAATTTCCACCAATCACAAACGCGCAATTTTTAAATGCAAATGGTTTCTAGGTGGAAAAACTGTATGACAGCAGTTTTATCGAGTTTACTTGCGGCAAAACTTGACAGCTGTTGTCACCAAAAATTGCAATTTATATTTTAATTGTTAACTGGTACTCATGAAATAGTCTTGTCAAATACCATTCAGGCATCTAATTTTTCCTGTGAAAAAAATCGAAAAAACACAATGTTAAGTAATATTTTTTAACAAAATGCATTCGTGCACGTGCAAAAATCCTCGTCTTCGACTCAGATTTTCGTTAAAATATTACTTAGCAACGTGTATTTCGATTTTTTTAGAAAAATTAAATTTACTTATGATATTACTTACAAATAATATTATATTTAAACTTTTTTATAAAGGTTTTTGTCTAAATTAGATTAATATGATTTTTGATAAACATTTAGATAATGCTTACCTATCTAAAAGGAACCAAGCACCAAAAACTTTTCTGGTTCTAACAAACTTATTTGTAAAATAACTCATTTTTTATGCTGCTCAAAAAGTTAATCATGCTTTGGAAATCCTCTTAATAGTTTTGAGCAATATTAAAAATGAGTTATTTTACAAAGAATTTTTGGCGCTTGATTACTGTTATATAAGCATTATAATTAATAAATTTTATCACTAACCGCAATAGTAGTTGCATTTACTGTCCTAGATCTATCGATACAACACCGCAAGCCGTACTTTAGCTGAAAAAAATAATATTTTTCAGTTAAGTTGGTTTGTCGAAAAAAAAAGAAAATAATTTTTTAAACAAAACTTTAACGCAAAATAGAAAAATGAATTTATATTTTTCAATACTCTTTTTCCAAAATTAATTGAATTTATCGAATCAATACGTAGGTACTTTTAATTTTTTCACCGATGTAAATGGATTTAATTAAAAGTTTACAATGAATGCAGCGCTACAAATGTTTATTGTTCTTGCCCCTATGTACGTCATCTACTTGCTATCCCGTGCGCTCAAATCCAAGTTAATTAACTAATCAACTATAGGCAGCAGTTTAATTTATGGCGGATGCGCCGGGAATAATTCTGTTGAAAAGCACCTGTTGAACTATACACAGGCATAAAATACATCGATCTTACAAAAATTTTAAACAGAAACCTGAATGGGGGTTTTTGACATGCTGAAACCAAATTTGACCTCAGAATTGCTCCCATCACATTTTCGGAATTCCAACTCAGTTTTTTTTTTAATATTTAAGGTTACTTAATCCTTTTGTCCATTGAAAAAAGCGGAAAAATGTAGCCAAAAAATATGTAACTTGATTTTTAAAAAGTTGACTTAAGTATAATTTTAATATTTTTTCTACTCCCACCTTTAAAACTCCCTTTATCGTACATGTTTCCATGACACTAAGTGACCTTTTTAATACACATTGACAAGTTGTGGCTTTATGGCGCTTTAGTCACGGGCTGAAGTTAGCAACAGGTTTTTAGTCACGGACTAAAGTTAGTTTTAAGTTAGTTGACAGTTGTCAAATGTCATACAATCGTTAAAATTAAGTGCCTTGTAAAATAA